TGTGTTCTGTATTGAAAGGCAAGTGTTTGTATCTACATTGCAAGTGTTCTTGAGACCGGCTACTGCTGTGCGCTTCTGAATCCCATGCTGATTTGGCTGAGATTCTGAATACAGAAGCCATCAAATGTGTCGGGAACTGAATGCATTAAACTTGGCATAGAATTGATGAGTTATGTAAAAGTAATCCCTAGTGACATAAACGATATAGAAGTTTGTGCACACACACCAGCCACTTTATTAGGTACACCTTGCTAGTGCCAAGAAAATATCCCCCCACCATTACACCACCAGCAGCAGCCTGAACCATTGGTACAAGGCAGGATGGATCCATGCTTTCATGTTGTTTATGCCAAATGCTGACCCTGCCATCTGCATGTCGCAGGAACCAGTCTGCCCATTCTCCTCTGACCTCTAACATCAACAAGGCATTTTCCTCTACACAGTTGCCTCTCACTGGATATTTTCTTTTTTTTTCGGACCATTCTCTGTAAACCCTAGAGATGGTTGTGCATGAAAAACCTAGTAGATCAGCAGTTTTTGAAATATTCAGACCAACCTGTCTAGCACCAACAATCATGCCACATTCAATGTCATTTAAATCCCCTTTCTTCTCCATTAATATGCACGGTTTGAGCTTCAGCAAATCGTCTTCACCACGTCTACGTGCCTAAATGCATTGAGTTGCTACCATGTGACTGGCTGATTAGCAATTTGTGTTACCAAGCAATTCAACAGGTGGCCAGTGAGTGTAGCTATTACATAATGTTCACTATTTTAAATGTGTGATAGGGCATCATTAGTGATTCATATCACCTGTGCTAGAACACAGTGTTCTGAAAAAGAGTTTGTCAATTTCTGTCCTGGAGAAATTGCTGATTGTTTCATCATGTCTTTTCTCAAACTGATCTCTAAATGGAAGAGTCCGCCACTTGGTGCAGTTTTTTCATTCCTGTAGAAAAGGATGAGGCTTAAAGTGGAACTTTAGTCAGGAAATTAAGTCCTACTAGATCACTTTAGGCTGGTTCCTTTTGCAGGTATAGCTATGTAAAACATTAAAGATAAGTGTCTATACTGTGTAGAATCCAGTAATACACTGTCTCCCCCTGCTCTGCACATGCTCAGATGCTCTCTATTTTTTGGCACTGTGCTGAAAATCATAGCCACTAAAGGCTGATCTGTTGACAACCTATAGATTTACTGCTGCTCAGGGGCTCTAGACTTCAGCAAAATGGCAGCCACCAGCAAGAAGAAACAGGAACAATGCTGGAGGCAATTTACAGCACACAATAGGCTGCTTATTGCCTGCAGCACTGATTAAGCATCTTTTATCTGACAGGGTAGTTGAACAGAAGTCAATCGGTAGATCGACTTCTGTTCAACCACAGTGGCCACACATGGATTGAAATTTGGCCAGTCCCTCCTGAACTGATCAAATTTCCACCCATGTATGGCCAGGATTAGAGAGCAACTCATTAAAAGTTAAACTTGTGTTGCAGAGTATGTGTGTAGTTTGCTTGTAGACTTCTGGGAAAATCAAAGAGCTAGTCATATAAGCAGAAAATTACATTTCTTAATTGAACATTAAAGTCCCATTCACACTTGTGTAGGTCCATGTGAGGTATGTGTTTACCTACACAGGCATGAACAAGTGTTCTGTATATCCCCCTTGCAGACAGTCCCATTCATGTCAATTGGAATTCAGCAGCCTGATGAACACAGCTGCTGCTCCCAAGTTGAAAGTCCTGTGGGTGCATGGCCCTGGACGAATACTGTCTGCATACCTGCCAGATTGGGAGCAGTGGCAAATACGACCCTGACATGGGCGTATGGTTAAAGGGGTGCATATATTAGGGGACATAGAATATAGCAGTATTGGGATATCCAAAAACAGTTCTATTGCAGGGTGGGAAGCACAGCAACAAAAGGCTAACAGGCCCACAAAAAAACCCCAAAGCCTTCAAAGCTACCAGAGGAGCCTTACAATTGAAGCTGCTTTCAGCTTAGGTCTGAACATCCGCCTGGCAAAACATAACAAAAGTGTGACCAAAGAGCAGGTGGCAGCTTTGGAAATCTGAGAAAAAGATGCCTAATGCTGAAAAGCTCAAGATTCAGTAACTGAACTGGCAGAGGGCACATAGACAGGGAAAGAGGGAAACCTTCTCGATAAGGTCACAGAAGTGGTCAGGAGTAGAGTGTTTTTCATATCTACTAGAATGGGCCATGTTGGAGGGTCTGCTATAGCAGTGTTTCCAAAGCTTGTCCAAGTGAATATCTGGTCATTTTATAGAAATAAATGTATTTACATATTATTAAAGTGGACCTTCACCATCCCTACCCTACTTTATATAATTCTACTCCTTTTTATTTATCTGTTTAGTTTTGTACCTTTCTGAGGGAACACATTCCTCACTTCCTCTATTCTCCCTTAGGTAAGACTTACATCTGCAGCATCTGCAGTCTCCGGGGATTGGTAGTGCCCCACCCCTGTCATCGGGTGGCTGGCTGTCACTTACTGGTTTTTGCAGCAGGGTCCCTCAGGATGAGTTGTTGCAGCACATGGTGTCATAAGAGGCCAGCTGCAAGAACCTGGAAATTAGGAGACAGGGAAAGGATCTTAATGGAAGGATAACCAGTTATTTTTATGAAAGCGGCAGATATAACAGATTCATACTATGCTGATTGCAAGGCATACTGGTCACTGATCTTAAACATTAAGTCAAACGTGTTAGTATTGACAAAATATTTTTCTTACTTTGAAAATGTGTGTATATTGTCAGTCCATCCCCGTAGCTGTAGCTGCTGATTTTTAGTATTTCTGGCACTTCATTACAGCCAGCCAGCGAGGAAGGCGGGGTGATCAGCTTCACATTCATTTCAAAACTACATCTCCCATGGTTCCTTGTGGTGCCCCCTCCATGTACTACTGTTCTTTCAGAGTGAAAGAGCACATATGTTGTACCTGGGTAACCGTAAAGAGATATTTTAGGCTTAAATCAGTGTAAAATTGTCTTTTTTCCACTCGGCACCACTTTAAGAGGGTCCTTCGCCCACTGACCATCAATGTAGGATTGTCCTATTGCCACCAACAAACAATGTAAAGCGGCACTCCTCCACTGACCATCAGTATAAAGGGGCACTTCTCTACTGTCCACCAATGTAAAGGGGCACTTCTCTACTGACCATCAATGTAGAGGGGCACTTCTGTACTGACCATCATTGTAAAGAGGCACTTCTCTACTGACCATCAATGTAAAGAGGCACTTCTCTACTGACCACCAATGTAAAGGGGCATTTCTCCACTGACCATGAATCTAAAGGGGAACTTCTCCACTGACCACCAATGTAAAGGGGCACTTCTCTACTAACCATCAATGTAAAGGGGCACTTTTCTACTGACCACCAATGTAAAGTGACACTTCTCTACTGACCATGAATGTAAAGGGGAACTTCTCCACTGACCGCCAATGTAAAGCAGCACTTCTCCTCTGACCACCAATGTAAAGTGACACTTCTCTACTGACCATAAATGTAAAGGGGAACTTCTCCACTGACCACCAATGTAAAGGGGCACATCTGTACTGACCATCAATGTAAAGGGGCACGTCTGTACTGACCATCAATGTAAAGGGGCACGTCTGTACTGACCACCAATGTAAAGTGGCACTTCTCCACTGGCAATCAATGTAAGGGAACGATACAATTTCACTATCTTTTTTTTTTTTTTTCTGGCCATTATTATTGTTCATTTTATTATCATTGCTGAAAATAATTTTGGGTGTCAAACACGATAAGTATGCTACATTTCTTTTTTTTTTTTGTTTATTTTAATATCAAGTTACCACCCATGCTAATGTACCATGAGGTGTTGATATAATAATTATTGGCAGGGGTTCCCTTAGACCTGAAAGTAAATGAAAGGGTTCCTGCATGTTAAAAGGATTGGGAAAATCTGCTCCAGAGAATCTTCGCTGCAGTTATTACACACTTCTAGTAAACTAAGATTCCCCTGGAGTGTCTTTACTTCAGCTGGGAGAACTGTTTATCTATATGGTGTACCATTGATCCTGTGAAGGTAAGGGAAGACCTGGTCAATACTTTGTAATTAACAGTGTTTTATGCTTGCTGAATTCTGGCAGGACGGTAGGGAGCTGAGTTGGTTTCTTTGATAGCACTGCCTTCTGCTAAAATCCTGCGGCTCTAGGCTTATTTTCTGTTATCTTACAGCTGTTAATTGTGACAAAGAGGTAACGTGACCAGCTGTTACCAATTCTACATTAGATTCACACACAGGAGGAGATCTGTGCTTGCTTGCTGTAAATGTGTAGTAACTCACTACTGACAACTGCAGCCCATGGGTCATTGATTCAAAAGTGACATGACACAGGTAGTTTATTTAATAGTTACAAGGGAAACTGCAGGAAATTAACAAGCTGCGTTAGGAGAATAGGAATACACGGAATTTTATGCAGCAATGTTTCTTTTTATCTGCTTGCAAACCAAAAAAGCTGCATCATATGTTCTCATTCTAAGGGTTAAATCCTAAGTGCTATAAGCAAGCACAGTAGGCTTATTGTCTATAGCAGTGATGGCGAACCCGTGGCACGCGTGCCACAGCCGGCACGCCGAGCCTTATCTGTGGGCACGCCAGGAGAATCCAGCGGCGCGCTGTCTTCCCGGCTGTAGTGTGCGTGACAGCCGGGTCCCAAGTGCGCATGCACAAGAAGCAGTGCTCTTTGTGAATGGTAAGGCGTTACCTGGGACACATGACAGATCCCAGAAGCCGCCGGACCAATCACAAAGCGCAGCGCTTCTCGCGCATGCGCACTGGGCATCCGGCTGTCCGATGAGCGCCCACACTACAGAAGCCGGGAAGACAGCGCGCGGCTGGATAAAGGAACAGGTAAGATAAAAAAAAAACTCTGTGGAAGTAAGAGCGGGTACCTGTCAAATTCAGGTACCCGCTCCCCCTCCCTCCCCAAAGGTCAGCAGTCATCTCTGTACTGTCCGCAGTCTCTGGTCATCCCTGTGCTGTCCGCAGTCTCTGGTCATCCCTGTGCTGTCCGCAGTCTCTGGTCATCCCCTGTACTGTCCGCAGTCTCTGGTCATCTCCTGTACTGTCCGCAGTCTCTGGTCATCCCTGTACTGTGTCCGCAGTCTCTGGTCATCCCTGTGCTGTCCGCAGTCTCTGGTCATCTCCTGTACTGTGTCCGCAGTCTCTGGTCATCCCTGTGCTGTCCGCAGTCTCTGGTCATCTCCTGTACTGTGTCCGCAGTCTCTGGTCATCCCTGTACTGTGTCCGCAGTCTCTGGTCATCCCTGTGCTGTCCGCAGTCTCTGGTCATCTCCTGTACTGTGTCCGCAGTCTCTGGTCATCTCCTGTACTGTGTCCGCAGTCTCTGGTCATCCCTGTACTGTCCGCAGTCTCTGGTCATCCCTGTACTGTGTCCGCAGTCTCTGGTCATCCCTGTACTGTGTCCGCAGTCTCTGGTCATCCCTGTACTGTGTCCGCAGTCTCTGGTCATCCCTGTACTGTGTCCGCAGTCTCTGGTCATCCCTGTACTGTGTCCGCAGTCTCTGGTCATCCCTGTACTGTGTCCGCAGTCTCTGGTCATCCCTGTACTGTTAATTAGTTTGCACTACTGTACGAGTTGTTTTTTCTAAACCAAAAGCTCGATATTCAGGTTTCATTGCAGTGTTGGCACTTTGAAAGAAATAAGTTGGTTTTGGGTTGCAGTTTGGGCACTCGGGCTCAAAAAGGTTCACCATCACTGGTCTATAGCAACAAAGGTAAAGAGGCTGCTTATCCCTGTACAGTTATTGCTCATTGCTCATATATTTTACTTGTCATTATCATTCAGAATACTTTCATCTCATATGACTGTTGACAAAGTTACAATATTTTTGTATTTCAATGGTTTTTTATTCATTTTAAACAGTATAAAACAGAGGCAACAAAACACACCCACGCAGGGGCTATCAATTGCACCGATAAAAAAGGCATAATAGAGCAGACAACGCTCTAATTCCAATAAGGCAAAACGTATGCCCACGCAGGGGCTATCAATGGCACATACAGTTGTGTCCAAAATTATTCAACCCCCACTGAAATTGAGTGTTTTGGCCAGTTTGACATTGCTTTTGATCATTCAGTCATCTTGCTTACATTTACATTAAAGAGGCACTTGTAGGTCAGACAAATATAACATAACAGTTATAATGAAATAACCACTAATGTCTTTTCTGTGCTCACAGCATTATCAGTTTTATTCAACCCCCAAGTGACATTCAATCTTAGTACTTAGTACAGCATCCTTTTACAGTTATAACAGCTTTTAAACGTGAAGCATAGCTTGACACAAGTGTCTTGCAGCGATCTACGGGTATCTTCGCCCATTCTTCATGGGCAAAGGCCTCCAGTTCAGTCACATTCTTAGGCTTGCGCACTGCAACTGCTTTCTTTAAGTCCCACCAGAGGTTCTCAATCGGATTTAAGTCTGGTGACTGCGATGGCCACTCCAAAATGTTCCAGCCTTTCCTCTGCAACCATGCTCTAGTGGACTTGGAGTATGCTTGGGATCATTGTCCTGTTGAAAGGTCCAACGTCTCCCAAGCCTCAGGTGTGTGACGGACTGCATCACGTTTCCATCCAATATCTCCTGGTACTGAAGAGAATTCATGGTACCTTGCACACGCTGAAGCTTCCCTGTACCTGCAGAAGCAAAACAGCCCCAAAGCATGATTGACCCTCCACCATGCTTCACAGTAGGCAAGGTGTTCTTTTCATCATAGGCCTTGTTCTTCCTCCTCCAAACATAGCGTTGATCCATGGGCCCAAACAGTTCTAATTTTGTTTCATCAGTCCACAGAACACTATCCCACAACTTTTGTGGTTTGTCCACATGGCTTTTGGCATACTGCAGTCGACTCTTCTTATTCTTTGGAGACAGCAAGGGGGTACGCCTGGGAGTTCTGGCACGGAGGCCTTCATTACGCAGTGTGCGTCTTATTGTCTGGGCTGAAACTTCTGTACCCACATCTGACAAATCTTTTCTCAGTTCCTCAGCAGTCACACGGGGACTTCTCTCCACTCTACGCTTCAGGTAGCGCACAGCAGTCGAAGTCAGCATCTTCTTTCTGCCACGACCAGGTAGCGTTTCAACAGTGCCCTTTGCCTTGAATTTGCGAATGATGCTTCCTAAGGTGTCTCTTGGTATGTTTAACATCTTTGCAATCTTCTTATAGCCATTGCCCTTCCTGTGAAGAGAAATCACCTCTTCTCTTGTCTTCCTGGACCATTCTCTTGCCTTCACCATGTTTGTAACCACACCAGTAAATGTCTAGAAGGAGCTGAGTATCACAGTCATTTTAAAGCTGCCTAATTGGTGCTTATTATGCTTGATTGCTGCTCGGTGACATCCACAGGTGTTTTCAATACCTGATGGAAAGCACCTGTATGAACCTCTGTTCTTCAGAGTGGTAGTCTTTAAGGGGTTGAATAATTGTGGCAATGAAGAAACCACATAAGAACCATTTACTACTGTATTACATAAACAATTGATGTCATTTTAGTTGCATTTGGGTAGTTACAACGTCCTTGTAGGATTTGATTCTGAATACAATTCCAAATGTACACTATAGTCCCTAAACCCCTTTACAGCATTGGGGGTTGAATAATTTTGGACACAACTGTAGGTTACAATAACATCAGTGAAACTCTGACTAACGCAACTAAAGGCAGCTGTCCACTGTCACACCAAAACAAACAAAAAAAGAGAGAAGTAGAGCAGAGAGGAAAAAAAAAAAAAAAAAAAAACACACCAAAGAGCAGGGGTCCACGAGCGCCAATACCAAACTCCATTACCTCCCCACACTGGCCGGGGGGGAGCGTGGGAAAGGCGTATTGCAACCACGGCTCCCATATTTTCAAAAATTTATGTTGAGAGTCGTTGCATATACTCGACATCTGTTCATTGAGCATCATAGTAGTCATACGATCCCGCACCCCCTGAAAAAGTACAAACGGACTCTTCTAGGCCTGAGCAATTGTCCTAGTGGCCGATAAAAACAAATAGGAAGCCAACCGCTGCTGACGAGCCAAGAGGCCCGGTATGGGGCAATGGAGCAAAGCATACCGAGCATCCCGGCGTATGGAGAGATGGAACAAAGTGAAAAGGAGGCCAAACACACGAGACCAAAAACGAACCAACCTCGGGCATGACCACCAGATATGCAGTACATCGCCACGATGGCCACAACCCCGAAAACATCGATCACTACAGGCAGGGTTAGCCTGGGCCAGACGAGCCGGAACCCAGTACCAACAAAACAATACCTTGTAGGCTGCTTCCAGTGTGGTCGTATTAAATGAACATTTAGCTATGAGTGACCAGGCCTTATTCCAGTCCTCCGGATCCACAGCCACTCCCAGGTCGCGCTCCCACTGAACAACATATGAAGGAGAAGTGTGCGACGAGCGTCTGTTCAAAGCTGCGTAAAGAAGGGAGATAAGGCCCGGGGCACCTGGGCGCTGCTGACAAAGCCGTTCATAAAGTTACAATATTTTTAAGCAAAATTGTGTTTTAGAGATAATCCTGGCAGGATCATCTTTATAACATAGAACTATCAATAGATCTATCACATAGTTCCATCAATGGATTTTGACCCTCTAAATCTGGTTGTACATTCATTTTGGTTTTTGCTTGGAAATTTAAATCCATTTAAAATTTCCAGTATAAAATTAACTTCCCTTCCCACCCTGTCTAACTGATCGTTGGCATTAAAAAAAATGTTCTTTTTACCTACCTAATGCCATGGTCATGTTATACTCCAGTACTGAGTGTTCTATCATTATTTGTTTACATCTGATAGAGTTCTTCTTTGAGTTTCCCCTCTACTGCCAGGGGCAGTCTTCTTTCAGGATCCAGAGGCATGAGGGGACTCTAGGGGACCAATGTTACATTGGCAATGATGGGTTAGTGGTCCCCAGCATCTGGAAACTACGTCAATGAGGGACCTGGATAGTGGACTAAAGTGATAGTATCTTTCTCAGGTAAGAAAATACAAATTCTTGTAGTATGGGTTAAAGGTGGGTGGGAGTTCATATATTTTTGCCCAGAGTAGGGCTTTAAAAAGTTCACAGCATGAAAATAATACAAAGCTGAAAGGAGAGGCATATTTCGTGCCTAATGGGAATGCAGCAACAGTATCACAAATACAGAATAAAGCTAGGTATGCAGACGCAGTTATATTTTTTCATTCAACCAGCAAGCTGAATGAATTTAAGCTGGCAAATTCCTGCATCAACACGACATGTGATGCAGGGATATCTTCTGCTGAGCTATTGTATTCTGACAGGGGGACTTCCCTACCACCAGTATACACTGATCTGTGCTTGCTGGTTTTCCAGCAGGACCATTCGACAGAAACCAGTCGTTAGACCAGCTTCTGTTTAACAGAGAAGAGTGCACACATACTGAAAGTCAGCTGGTTCCAGCTGAATCGGCCAACGTTCGCTGCATGTGTGTAGCACCCCTCTAGTTAGCTAAGGGGAGCTAGCTAGTTTTTTCAGCTGGAAAGGATGAGTAGGAGCCTGGGCTGAGTCAGAATGTCTCATAGGGAGGGATGTTCTGTAGTTCACAAAAGTGAACAGGGCAGGGCTGAAAAACCTGGTTGACATAACTCTGAGAGCATAGGAATTTACAAGCTTACTGAATTTCTGGCAGGATCAATAGGTAGTTTTTTGTTCTTATTGAATAGATATAATAAAACGCTTTTAATATATTTAGTAGACTTAAAGGGTAGGAAAAATGGTTTTGTTAACTACTTCCCTAACGCCCTATAGATGAAAGATGGCTACAGCGCGGTTATCTAGTTCTGGGATGAAGACCATGGACGTCATTCCAGAACACGCCCCTTGCACACCCAGCACCACTGGTGATCACTGTGCTCTACAGACACAGCTGATCGTGTGATACGGTAAACGACCAATCACAGCAGCCTTTTACCACGTGATCAGCTGTGTCCAATGACACAGCAGATCACCGGGTAAATACAGTTGCTGGTTATCTGCTGCACTTTCCTCAGGCTGTCACAGCAATTGTCAGAGAAGTGATCGGCACTGATCATCAGGGCACTGATGATCAGTGCCCAGCAGTGTCGCCACCTGTGCCCATCAGTGCTACCCACCTGTGACCATCAGTGCCACCCTCCTGTGTCCAGCAGTGCCTCCCAGCAGTGCCACCCACCTGTGCCTAGCATTGCCACCCATCAGTGCTGCCCAGCAGTGCCACCCATCAGTGCTGCCCAGCGGTGCCGCCCATCAGTGCTGCCCAGCAGTGCCGCCCATCAGTGCCCAGCAGTGCCGCCTATCAGTGCAGCATCATCAGTGCCGCTTATCAGTGCCTCCTATCAGTGCCCATCAGTGCTGCCTATCTGAATAGAACTAGGAATAGGATAAGCCCTGGCCACTCATGTTGGCAGAAGGGAAAAACAGATTTGTATGTATTTTTGTTTGATTCAGACCTGTTATCATTGATTTGCAGAGGCAGGAAAAAACCAAAAGGAATGCTGTTTTTA